GAAACTTTCAGCTGCCCTCAGGAGCTGTTCCACTTGGCTACTTGAACGATTTAACATGGGCGTGTCCAGCCCGTGATGTGGCTAGTTCGGGCCCGCGGGGCTGTCCTGGAAATGAGGGAATCGGCCCCTGCACCTCAGCCCCGCCTCTCCTCGCGTGGCCTGGCCTCACCTTGCCCCACAGCAGCCTTGAGAAGGTAAGCGTGGCCAGGCATCCCCTCAGGGAAGCAGGGCTGGACTGGACTGCAGGGTTCCGGTGCTCCGGGCGCTCGAGAGCCAGCCACGCCCACCCAGTCACACCCACCTCATAGTTTTACATGTAGCTATCCCTTTGTTCTGACCTAGGCTTCACAAAAATCACAAAACAGACTCCTTGCCCTGACAAAACCCCTTTTAATTTGGCTAATGTGAATTTCTATCATTCATATCCAGCAAAGTCCCAGCAAACAGTCTTTCAAAGATGAGTTGCAACCACGGACCTTATCAGGCTTGGAGAGTTGCCAGGCCGATAGCTTCCAAGCGCAAAACCATACAAGGAAATACTTGGCAAGGTGTCAAGCATTAGATAAGCAGACCGTCACACTCATTAAACGAACTAATTGTCTCCTGCAAACACCACTCCCTTTTCGCTCCTTTTCCCTATGGGAGGGGCCATTCACCATCCACCTGTGCCTTTACTCCCGAGTTGACCCTTGTTCCTTAACTCTTCCTTTCTCCTGGCAGCTCTGCGCATGGCGCACATTAGGAAGAGGCTTCAGCTGTTCTTCTGCCCCAGTGATCTCTGCCTCCAAAGGCAGCTGATAACTGTCAGACAGCCCTGGCCCCATCTCTGCCTCCGACGCAGAGCCCTCGTCCGAGCCCTCCCCAGACTCCAGGAGTGGCCCATATTCCTCCGCAACCTCCTCACTGTCCAAGCTGGGCCATAGCACTCTTTGAGGGCAACCAAAATGCTGATGCGGCCCTCAGTTAAATTGAGTTTGACACCCCTGATTTAAAGCATGTATTTTCTTGAAAACTAAACTAATACAAGAGCATTTTAAATAAATTGGTTTAGATTTCTTTCATAACAGCATACTTCAAGTTAATTTCTAGGAGGGACATTTCTGCTTCTAATGTGGAAAATAAGAGTTTCTCATATGAACATCATTCATTATGCAAAAATCTCTATTTTTCTTAAATACTTTCCCCCAAAATGTTAGCCATGTCTATATTGCAGAAATTTGTAAGAGTTGTTGGTCCCACATGTAGCTAGTCCTCAACTTACAATAGTTTATTTAGTGACTGTTCAAAGTTACAACACAAAAAGTGACTTAATACCTTTTTTCACACTCAACGACGATTTCAGCATCCCCATGGTCATTATTACCTTTATTGTCAGAGTACAACGTGTGTACAATGAAATCAAAATTCTCATGTGATCAAGATTCAACTACTTGGAAACTGACCCATATTTATGACAGTTAGCGTCCTGGGGTCACGTAATTCTCTTTTGCGACCTTCCGAAAATGAAGTCAATGCGGAAGCCAGATTCATTTAACAACCATTCGGTAACTTAACATCTGCATTGATTCACTTAACAACTGTGGCAAGCAAGGTCATAAAATGAGTCAAAAATCACTTGGCAAATGTCTCACTTAACAGAAATTTTGGGCTCAATTATGGTCATAAGGACTACTTGTACTACTACTACAAAAAACCAACTGCACCTCAACAAGCTTAGAGATGATGGCATCCTAGCAGTCTTCCAACACACAAAGGAACATCATAGGAAAGAGAGAATACTGTAGATCCACTCTCTAGAACCTGAAGGTGAGAAAAAAAATATATGGAAGCTTTACAGTGAGAGATTCAAAATTGTGATGAAATATGTGGATGACCTTGACCTTCCAAGGGGAAGAAATGTGATCAGGTGAGAGAGAAGAGCCCCCGATGGATTAATGGTCAAAAGAAGAAATTTAGGAAGAACTCACCCTAATTGTTCAAACAGTATAAGTGGCGGCAGGAAGTTTGCACAATTCTGTTAATGCAGTCTTAAATAAAGTGGAATTAGCTTGTCTAATCAAGTTTCCTGTTTACACGAGAGCCTGACAAAACTTGGACTTTGTTAAGGAATTTCCTTAACATGAGAATTGTTAAACTGTGGAGCAGCCAGTCTCATAAACTCATGAATACTCCATTCACAAGTTTTCAAGAAAAGATTGGGGAGGCATTTGTCCAGGATGGTATGATGATTCCTGCTCTGGGCAAGGAACTGGACTAGAAGACCTCCAAGGTCCCTCTCAATTCTGATTCTATGTTTTTATTTTGAAACTTTACATAAAAAAAATAGGATAATCCAAAAACAGTGGGAAATCTGGAAGAATAACAAAAGTGATAGCTAGAGAAAGGGAATTAACGCTTTTTATGTGCAAGGTAGTTTTATGAGAATTATTACCAATTTTTGGTAAGACTTGGTATGTAATAGCCAGAGCTTAAGATTCACATTTGCCATATTCAAAGATAAAGGTCAAAATGTCTGAATATTGTAACAAGTTCAAAAAAACATATGAAATCCAACCATTTTGTTTTCATGTTAACATCTTACCAATGTGAGCATGAGGCTCACTGCCTGGCTCCCTCCTCCTCCTCTTTCCCCCCAGCATGAACGGCTATCCATCCATAACTTTTTAATGTATAGGCTTGTTTTTCAATGTGAAAAGCCATTATTTTAAATATCCTTCACCTGTAATAACTAAATCTAATAGAATTCAAGAATAATAATGAGAGAGGAAGACTTTCTGGTGCTGTTTAAAAAAACACCATATATAATTTATCAGACAAAATGAATGCACATGCTGAACGCTTGAGACAGACGTTATGTCATACCTGGGACTGGGAGGCCTAAGGACATTACAGATATAGTACTGAACAGGGAAATGGTGACAGAACTGCAAATATTGTTTCAGGCTACATTAGACATCCAGAATTATTCTGGATTCTGAAATGGTTGGAGGTGTGCAAACCCAATGAAAAATATAGAAACCACAAATCCTGATCCAGCATCTTAGCAGAAGCCAACGATAAGTGAGTCTCCAAGAGGTCTCTGGTAGCCAGAAAGAACAGTGAGACTAATCTGTTGAATGGCATGAAACCACAATTTGTTACTGTGAAGTTTTCAACAGAATATTCAGTGCAGCTGGATAGATGGAAAGACAGGTATTGAAGCTAAGGTGCCCAAAGCTACCTTAGTGTAAGAAATTATTCATGATTGAAAAAAGCATACATTAATAAAAAGAAAGAAGTCAAATATTAGAATATATCTACAATGAGAAATTGACTTTATTCGCGTTCATTAAATTTACAAGTTCAAAAGAAGATTCCTATAATCTTAAACTCCTCATTACAAAGAGCAGTTTAACTGGCATGGCTCTACATACATTCTCTCTCATTAAAGAGAGAATTTTTCAAAGCCTGATTTCAGCATTTGTAACTTTTTTCACCCTGATTGCAACTGCCGCTTGCTGCCCAGGCCCAGTTCAGTGAAGAAGGAAAAGTCCTGATATGTCGTGTGATGCGGTCATGACAATGTGAGTTTGACACCCCTGCCCCAAAACAAAAGTTAATGTTCTTAAGCACTTTGTACGTTACAGAAAGGGAAATCACATTGAATTTGTTTCCAGGTCATCCCTTTGAATCTTTATGACAGGATGTAACAGAATAAATCGATCAATAAAGAATCTGAATAAATGTAATTTAAATTGGTATTTTTAAAAAACTATTATTGGGTTCATATGTAGGTTTTAATATTTAGACCAGAATCTTACTGGGGAATGTGTCAGATCTGTGTATCTGCCATGGAAGAAGAAGGGGGGGGGGGAGTTTTATATAAACAGAATAATTTGAAGAACCTGGGAGGGGAAAGAAACAGTGACACCTATTTTTTCTACTACTGTTTTTAACACTACTATGCAATACATAAGTAGATATATGGGTAAGCCTAATCCTTTCACATACTGGTAGGTTTCATAATATTTTATAAGAATAAACCAAACTTTGTCATTTAATATTAAGTATGTATATTAGACACTCAGGTGATTTATTTCAACAACGTATACATAGTTATTTGCCCCTATATAGTTTCATAATATATTTTAACTGATTATATGGGAGACAAAAATAAAATAGTGTTTTCTGGGGGGTTTTATAGTAAGAAAACTTTCAGAAATGAGAAGGCTGTTCATCATTAAAATATTATTAGCTCAAAAGTTTAAAAGCAGCCAAGCCTTTAAAAATATAAACATACAAACACAGAAACCTGATGGCAGAAAATATATCCAGTGGGGCATCGTCTGCCCTTCGAAGGGTTTTTTTTTACATTTTCTTTTATTTTTCAATTTTTGTCGGGCAATAGACATTGGTTCCAAGCTCCCACTTACTCTTTCTAACGTTACTTTTGAACTTCCCTCTTGTCAGTTTAATATTATGCCCCCACGTTCTTGATTTTTGCTTAATATTGAAAATACTGCCTGAATCTAGACCCTTATTCACCCCCTTAATACGTTCCAAGGTTTCAATCCTGTGCCCCCTTTCCCTTCTATCCTCCAGGCCAGGGCTCTCCAACCTTGGCAACTTCAAGGCTGGTGGACTTCAGGTCCCTTTGCTGGCTGAAAAATTCTGGGCGTTGGAAGTCCCGAAGGTCTTAAAGTTGCCAAGGTTGGAGACCCAGCTCCAGGCTGCATTCAGTTCTCTTCACTGGGCGCAACGTCACTCCCATAGTCCTCGCTCCCACACCGGCCTTCCAAGGAGCCCGCCTGCACAGGGGTCCCCACCTTCCTCCTCCTTCCAGCCGTCCCGCCCCCCCCCCCCCCCCCCCCCAGTCAGTTTAGCTTGGAGCCCCATGTTCAGGATCCGCCCGCAGCTTCTTGACAGGAGACCTCCGGCCAACGGCGGAGCTCAGAGAACCTGTGGACAGTTTGGCCCCCCGCTCGCGCAGGTCCTCGGCGGCGGCCGCTCTTGAGCATCGGAAGTGCGGCTCCATGGTACGAGGCCAATCACGTGGCGGCCGCCCTTCCGCTGTGCCATGGCGGGCCCGCCTGGCGGCGTATCGCTCTGGAGGAGTCGCTTCGGGGACCTCGTGGGGGTCCCGGGCAGGCGTCGCCCGATCAAAGCGAAGCTGCCCCTGGTGCTAGGCGACCGCGTCTCGAACCGGCGCCTGAAGCTCGGAGGTAGGCGAAGGCGAGCGGCGTCCGACGGTCCTATTTTATCCCGCCCGGGCGCCTGGTTTGCAGTGGGTCAGCCGAACTAAGCGAGGGTACTTTTCGAGGTCCAGAGGCGGTCCTGCTATGAAAAGCGGGGGCCGCCGGGGAGGAGGAGGCACCGGCGGCGGCGGCGGCGGCAACTCACATTCGTACGTGCCCGTCCCCTTACCTGGAGTCCAGATCATCTTGACTTTACCTGAGTGTAGATATTTGAACAGAATCATCCGTATACACGCCCTTATTTCTCAACCTGCGCAAATGTTAAGGCGCGTGGACCAAGCTTGCCCCATGTACACGTGTACTGACATCCTACATGCGTGTACCGGTTCACACAGCTTCGACCGATTCCGCTAAAACCTGCCTGATCGAATATCTGTCTTGTGCCAGGCATTAATTACATACCGGGATCTGGCCCACCTTGATCAGATGTCTTTCCATTGACCAGTGACTTTCTTCCAATTATAGATACTATTTAAGAATTGGAATAATATCAGGGCCTGCTGTGTGTCCTTCTTTGTTTTGTGTGTTTCTTTTGCAATAGATTCGTAGAAACTATAAAATACTCCTGGGTGATGGGAGTTTCTTTCTTTTACAGAGGCAAGTTGTGTTACAGAGATGGCATTGATGATGGCTTGCTGGAAGGCAAATGAGTTCAGTGACAGTGCTTGTGCAAAGGAGATTACTACATTCTTTGAATGTGCAGCAAAAGCAGAAGTAATTGCATTTTATTTTTCCCCAATATTCTATAAAGAAACTGTATTGAGTGTGTAATGCTTCAGAATGACCCAATTGTTTTAATTACATAGTATTTTATTTAAAATTTCTTTAATAAACTTTCATCTAATTAAAATGGGCAGCAATGATAATTTAGCAAATATAAGCAGAGACAATTGATGCTTCAAGGTGCTGGTACTAGTGTATGAAATCCTAAATGAATTGCTCTTGAAATAATTTAAAATACTTGTCAGCCAGGGGAATTAGTCAGTGGTGATACTGCTGGATCCCATAATACTGCCATTTTTATTATTAAAATGAGAAACAATACTAGGATAACATAACTTGACATTTCTATTGTCATTTCTTCATTCAAAAAAAGTCTGCTTTAACTCTTTGTTATCCTCACTCTATGAACCACTTTTTTTAAAAAGGCAAAGAACTGTACAAACTATTTTGTGCTCAAAGTAACCGTGGGAGGTGCAATTTGGAAATATTTCTGTGTTGGCTCTGCTTGGAAATGACTCAATTGGGAATGTTTGTTTTGACCTCACTGGTGCCATGATGAGACCACTTGCTTCTGGTGATGTTGGAACATCCCAATTTAAGCTTGAAGCTTAAAAAAAGTCTAAATTATATTTTTTGAAACTATTGGTTTCTGCTATCTTTTTCTAGAACCAAAAAGTTAAAAATTATCCTTTTATTGGGAGTATGTTCCTTGACATAGGAGAAGACTAGCACAGAGGCCAAATGCTCAATCCTCAAACAGCTAACTTTACTGCTAACAAAACAAAACAAAAATGGAGGAAGCATATGCTTAATTGCTTCACTATTGTTACAAAATAGAATTGAGAGAAAAAGTTGGAAGTATGCCATATCCCCAAAATTGGTTTTGGATATCTGGGAGATTGCATGCAAGTCTCATTCCCATACTTAGGGTACCATGAAAGTATCCTTTGTTTCATTAAATCCTAAAATTGGAAGTAGTCATGATGCTTTGTAAAAAAAGAAACTTACTAACTGGTTAAAAGAAAAATAATTGCTGAAATTGTCCATACATTACATATCATTGATTTCCTTGTGGTTATAGAAAGTATGAGCTAGCTGCATTAAGTCAAAATAGTTTATATAGAACACATCTAAAAAGTCATATTGCCATTTCTGTTTTTTCTGTTATATTTATTTGTAGAAAATAATAGATTATTAAAAAACAACTAGCAGGATAAGACCAAACTAGCCACAAAGTGTGACCAAAATAATATATTTTTCTCATATTCCTATGAATAGATTTTAAAAATTCAACTACGCTACATTTGCCATAAAATTTGTTAGTTTGAGTAATAAATGAAGAAAATAGACTTTTGACAATACCAGTTCAGTTTGTCAAAATTGACTCTAGTCATTTAGCCATTGGGATCCATAACAAAAATCACTGGGAATTTACTTTTCAATTCAATAACTGCATAAATTTATTTGTGTTCTTTTCAGGCAAAGAAAAAGGCAACTCCAGAAGAATCTTCAGGAAATCTTGATTCACAACAAGTCAACAAATTACTTGGACGATACCCAAATATTACACACCATTATTAACAAAAATTGTTTCTGTCATAACTGGTTATTAAAACCTGAAATTAGCTCAACTTTGGAAAACTCCTCCACCCCGCTTGTTAAAACTGAGGAGAAATAATCTTCGGAATTATATAAGTGACTTTGTCTAAAAAGATCATCTGCCAGTAAGACCGAAGCTTACATTTTCTCTGATGTGAAGGTTCTTCAGGCAGAAAACTTCCTTATGATTGTTCAGTTATTGTCATATTGAGTTATATGGAATAAGATCTTATAATGAAATATGCTACATACATACTAAAATTAAATTATAAATTAAATATATAGTTCTTTGTGTATAATCAAGTTCTTGCTAGTGGAGCAGGTTTTCTCTTCTAAACCCTGGCTAAAACAGTGTTTCTGGCCTACAAGATGAAAATTAGTAGATTCATGAGATCTCTCTCCTCTGGATCTTTCTTGGGAGCAGCACTTCTATAGATTGTCTCTTTGTTTTTCCCAGTGGGAATGTGACAGTCAGTTGAATCCAGTCCCCAAGGAGCTTTCACTTGAAAGTACTCTCAACTAGGAGCTCTTTCAAGTCCTGCTTCCAAAACTATTCATTGCTAAGTCCTATGAGTGCCTTGACATTTGTGGGATGAAGCTTTGAGAACGGAGGCATTTTGATTCTCCCTAGTAATTGTGATGACCCAGAGCGTAACACAAACGTAACAAAATTCAAAATGTAAATAAATGTCCTTTAATGCCTCCAACCTGGCCTCACTGTTCAATAATTCTCAGCTGGAGATAAAACTTATTCAAAAATAGTCTCCAAAAGAAAGCAATACAGTCCAAACTTAAAGAGCAGATAGAGGTAAATAAAAAACCAAAACAAACTTCAATGAAGGAATTTCCACAACGGACCAGGATAAGTAATTACCAACTTCAAGGAGATCACAAGGCACAGTCTGTTGGATGGATGCCAACCAAGATAACTTAAGCCCAAAATAAAGCACACTTTGCTTCTGGCAAGGCTGTGTTTTAACTGTCTCTCTTATATACTATTCTCCCCAGTTGCAACCAATGAGGGGGATCATGGCCACTTCCTCTCTCATAAGCCAAGTTGTTTCCTTCTCCAGTTCTCCCTGCGTGTTCTAGGATGGGCCTGGTTCTTCTGCCCTTCCCCAGCCTCCTCCACATCCTCCAGAGCCACATCTGCACTCCCTGTCGGTTGTTCCTCCTCTCCCTCAGAGTCCAACTCTTAACAAGGGCATGACAATAATATCCAGAGCTCAGGAATAGCCCTTGGTAAGATTTTATGTTGCATCCTAGTTCCCATTCAAACCAAAAACATGTTTAATATAATAGGCATCTCATGATCTGTGTGTGATGTGGTAGAAAGTGGTGAGCACTGGCTGCAACATTACTTTTTACCAAATTAAATATCAGTGAAGAATTGTCCAAAGGAGATAATCTAGATAGTTTGGCTTTATTTCTCTGTTTTGGACATTAGGAAAAAAAGCTTGACAAATATTTGTAGGACATCTTTATGGTCCTGGAAGAGTCACCTCAGATTTCTCCATTTTTGAGGGAAAGTCAAGAAAACCCAGAAATTGAGATTCAGCTTGATAGGCCTATGCATGTGCTTCTCGATTAGACCAAAATTGGTAGATTGGGGCCAGGCTGTGTCCCAAAGCCTGTCTTCATTAAGAAAATAAACTTTACAAGTTTGTCCTAGAAGGAAAAAAATCTGATGATTTTTTTTTCACTATGTTTTTTTTGTAATACATATTTTCATAATCAGTTAATTCACCACATTCAATAAATCCAAAATTTCAAATATTGGTAAATGCCAGCATTTGGAATAGGATTTACTCTCACGTTAAGTTCTTTGGATCCTACTCCATTTCCCCAAGTCCTGCTAACAAACCTAGAATGTCAAATCAAAACAGATTAGTACTGAGGCAAGCTTTGTATCACTTAGTCCTTGATGCTCTCTGCATCTTTTCTGGCAGATGTTTCATTATCCTAACTAGGTAACATCCTTTTTGCTGTCAGTTTATATTCTGGTGACTTGTATGTGTGGGTGGGGACCATCTTAGGGATTCTTTGGTTGGACTGTCCTGGTGGCTCTTTGGCAGTTTCTTGATTGGGGTGTTGCGTCATACTTGATTGTTGGTCTGAAGTTGACCTTGGAGTTAATCTATACTGATCTGGGTGCTGATTATTGGTGGAGAGATTCTGGAGTCTTTTTGGTCTCTTTTGGGCTGGTTGATTGTCTCTCGTATAATCTACAGATGATGTGCCTATTGGTGGGTGATTTGTCAGAGTGTCAGGCTTCTAGAAATTCCCTAGGATTTTTGGATTTGGCCTGGTCACATTTTCCCAATTGAAATTAAGGCTGAGGCTTTTTATATGTTGCGAAATTAAAGAATTCATCATGTCTTCTGACTGCCAGTTGGTGTTCATGGAAGCTTGTATCATGTGTAAGTGTCTTCTCCATTTTATATTTCAAATTTCTATTTCTGCAAAGATATAACAGTTGGGAAAAATCTAATTTCTGTCAGTGAGGCTGTTCAACAGTATAGGCATTACCACTAAAAGCATATAAGCCTCCACTCTCAAACCTCAGGAAAACTAGGGATCTCCATATTTGGAGAAGTCAAACCATATAAGGCTTCATAGGTATCAACCAGCACTTGAATTGTACCCCCAAGCTAATATGAAGCCAGTGTAATGCCTGGAGTACATATGTTATCCGGTATTGGCAAGGACTTACTAGGCATTGTGCATTAACTGCAGCTTCTAGTGGTCCTATTAAACAGCTCATGTAGAGCACCTATCAGACACGTGATGATGAAAGGCAAGAGTTACAGCAAAGAGGCCATCCTGGAAAGATGGTATCTGGTGTATATTTGGAGCTGGGGAAAGACACAGTTCTAGCCACAGTCTCTATTTGCCTAACCTAAAGAACTCAGAGATGTGAATATCTAGAATTAGCACAGATACATAATGCATCAAGATTTGTTTGCCTCTTACAGTTATGGTTCTTCCTGGAGCAGGATGACTCTTAAAAACTCATGCCTTCTACTTCAAGACTTACTAATATGTTGTGGATACCATCATCACCTTTGCAATTCTATGCAAATAGGTCTTGCTCATTCAGCCTGGTGAACAACCAACGAGTGTAGAAAATATTAGAAGCTCTTAAGCTCTGGGGCAGTTGTTGAATTGTGTCTTACTCACCATTACCTACCATCAACGTGATTTAGCATCCCTTTTGCTATTTCCTATGATCTAGAGAATAGAGTGACTTCCAAGTCAACTCCACACATTCACTGAGATTACAATCCTAGGCATACAGAATTCACATTTACAAGGCCTGAAGCCCCTCTTCTCCACCTGGCAAACAATTCCCCATGTTATCTGAAAAAACATACTGGCTGCGTTTCAGACGGAGACTTTCATCAATTTTGTGGCTGTAAAACAAATATTTGTTCCTGAAATTCACATTCTGGGCATATATCCTATTTCTGAGACCTATCCAAAGGATTTTCTTATTAACCATTGGCAAAAAGATTTCATTGTCCCCTTGCCTTTATCCACAAGTGTTTTTGTTAAAAAGAGGAATGGCTCTTTCTACTATAGATTCATGTTCATGGCTATAAATGTGTTTTTTAAATTCTGTAATTAAAAGAATTACAGAATTCTTTTTCTGTAATTCTCTTTCCCCCATCTTCAAATTCAATTGAGGGCACACTTTTTGCCAAGGTGCTCCTCAGAGGGGGCTACAACCTGGTTTCTATGGTAGCAGGCACAAGCATTTAACTTCCTTTGAAACTCATTATGGATATTCTGAAGACCCTGTCTTAATGCAGTGTATAAAATATATTTTTCATAACTGGCAAGATTTTTTTTAATTTGGCTAATTTATTAATTTACTCTGATTAAATTAAAATTTTGCCCTGCCAGTGGTGAAAAATATGATTTATGCTAAACCATACTAGACCCATTCATTTATTTGAATGATCTATGTTTGAATTAAGAGCTATCTTGAGGGAGATAGCAACCGGCTCTTAGGCAACCAGGATATCTCAAGTCTCTTGTCCATATTGAGGTCTTTTATAAAAGCTAGATGAAGCCCAAAACATTTGTTTTGCAATGAAGTCCATACCAGCAAGACTACCACTGCAAAGCCACTCCTAATCCAGTCTGCGAGAACTGGTCATATACAATGCTCAGGGAAAAGCCTCTTTTAGGAAGAACAGGTGAGGTTAAAGGCTAAATAGGTACCAAAAAAAAATGCAGAAGTAGCTGGAAAAAGAATTTTGCTTTCTTTAGTCATTCACACAAAGCAGGCTCAGGAGATCTCAGTTCCACTCTACAGTACATTTTTTTTGCTGGAGGAGGAAAAACTAAAGCAACAAAGACTAAGACAAGTATGCCTTTAATGGGGCTGCTGTGAGTTTTGTTCCTTGCATGAAAATGACAGGAACCTCTGAGCCCCTATGAAAGCGAAGGGAGGGGAATAGCAGCACAGGAGGCCAATGATAAATTCAGTCAGAGACAGTAACGTAAAGCACCAGCATGAAGAATCAGCTCTCAGCAAGCAGAAGGATGGTGCTCCCCCAAGTGTTCCTCTCACTGCTGTGGCTTGGATCTGGGCAGGTAGGAAATGGGGCTTTCAGCTGCCAGCAATCATTTAGCTGTTTAATGTTGTATTGACCAGCTCACGATGCCTGGCGGAATATTATTTAGCCTATCTAGGCATGCCATGGTTATAGAAAAGCTTGCTAATAGATCTGTGGCATTCAAAGAGTTAGAGATTAATTTTACACCATGAGAGCAATTCAAACATTAGGAATAAATTTACACATTTGCAAACTACATTCATGTTCCACACATATGGCAGATTCTTTGTCTCAATCTTGATTGATTAGTCATGATCAAGCACGTAGTCCGGACATTTATAATATAACGCCAGGATTTGGAAAGACATCTATTTTTCCTCCTCATGTTTTCTCCTATGCATCTGGGGGAAAGCTGCAAAAAGGGTGTTACTTCCCAGCAATGCTGAATTACTGCATCTAGACTAGAGCAAGCTATACTATGGAATGACTTTCCTCACTACCAACTCCCTCATTTGATGCAGACTCTCCTCTCTGAATGCTAAATGCAATTAGGCTGGCAGTCTCTTCTATGCTTTGTAATGAATTCTTTGTGCAAGTTGCTATATTGATGTGCTTTAGTGGACTTCTGCAGGCAATCTTTATTCAGGTGATTAAATAAACGCATCCACATGAGATACGCTGGAGAAATAGAAATACAAAGGCATTTCTAACTTTAAAATAAACCTCCCTCATCCCAAGTATGCAGGTGTCATCTCTGTCCTTTTACTCATTTTCCCATTAAGTCAGCGATGCAGTCAATGAGCAGAGATCCCTGCAGGTAAAGCAAAGGGCAGAAGCCACCAGTGAGCATTGAAAATAACAAACTACAAATAACAACCTGCCACAATAATCAGCTGTTCTGAAAAGCAACCGGCAACAAATTGAGAATAACTTACTGAAATAAAACTCCAGTGAAAAAGTGAGAGTGGAAAACTCTTGCTTAAAATTCCAAATTTAAGAGATTGCAAGACTTGATCTCAGCTGAAAGTGTTGCTCACATCCACCTGCCTTGGATTAGTAAACATCAAGTATTAGTTTGCTGCATCAAAAAGAATTGGTTTTGTGGCATTTTAAAGACCAGAGACGTCCA